AGGTGACGGCAGAAGCCTGAGCGAGCCCTCCACCAGCTAACTAAACCGCTTCACTAGGTGTGTCTTTCCGCTCCTTTATGGAGGTCCCTCGGTTTTCCTTTCGCTTACAAATTCCTGGTGTTTTAAGGGCTGTCCGGAAGTTGAGAGGAAATTCCTCAGTGAGTAAATGATGTTCCAGGAAAACAGCAAAGCGTCCCAGTCGTAGGGTGCACCCTGGAGCCCCGATTTGCAGTCTGCTTTCCTTCTAAGAGCCTTAACTGATTCGTGACTTATTCTAGCCCCCCCTCCCCGCCAATTCTCAACATCCTCTTGCTTTTTTCAGAACACGAAAATTAACACTGAAAATAAGGCCACAATCAGTATGGCAGGCGCAAAACGTGTGCCCGTGACCTCTGCTGCAGCCTCCAAGCCAGGTCTAAGGCCAAGAACAGCTCTCGGAGACATCGGTAATAACAAAGTCAGTGAGCAGCTGCAAACCAGAGTGCCTCTGAAAAAGGTAACTGTCTCACTCTCCCACTACCTGTAAGAGCCCATCTGCCAGCTGTGACCCCTTGATGGAGAAAATTCTATTCTGTTTTCTCTACAGGAAGCAAAAACTTCAGCGACTGGAAAAATTACTGCTAAAAAACTACAGAAACCTCTGGAAAAGGTGCCTGTACGTGTGCCAGAGCCTGAACCTGAGCCTGTGAAGGAAGAAAAACTTTCTCCTAAACCTATTTTGGTAAACTTATTACTGTTTTAGTTTGTTGATTCTATTCCTTCGTTTCATTTATGCATGAAGCTATTTATGAATAAATAGTAAAATAGTAATGATGATAACATTTATTCAGTTCTTAGCAAGTCCTGAAAGGCATTTTATGTTTATTAACTCATACAATCTACCTGCTCTCTGGAGTGCGTATTATTCTCTATTTTTTAGATAACGGCCAAGAGAAATCATGAGTCACAGAACAATAAATGGCACATGTGGGATTCTTAAGTCCAGACTGTCTTGCTTCAGAATAAGTGCTTTTAACTATTCTGATATTGTCCCCTTTGTAAATACTAAGTAGCAGCTGCCTGCACCGAACGTTTTGCTTAATGTGACCACTAAATAATTAATAAGCCTGTGATGTTGGGTTATATAAAGGAGTAAATCACAAAGAAACTACAGCTCTTCAGAGAAGAGTAGAAGACCAGTGAACATTTAGCTTCAAAAACCAAGAGCTTTTTATTGTTTGTCTGTTACTGAGGATTGAACTTGGGACCTTGTGCTTGTGAGGCAGGTGGCAGAACCACTGAGCTAAATAAATGCCTGGGCTGACCAAGAACTTTTTGACAGAGTGTAGCTTGCTGGTACAGCCCATGCTTACTTAGCAAGCACAAAGTCCTAGGTTCAATCCCCAGCACCAAAAAAACAAAAAAACTTTGTTAAATTATTAAATACCAGATACGTAAATTTATACCTGTGGAAGAAAAACAACACATAGATGAGGCTGCTTTGCTAAAATTGTAATGAACTGCATTGTGAAGCTTTTGTTTTTTTAATTGAGAGCCAGTCCTAAACTGATTTTTGCCCTTGCTTTTCCACTTAAGAATGCCTTTGCCAGCCTCCATGTCATTTAGCAAATAAATAACCTTTTCATCCTCAAAACGTCCAAACATCAGCTCCTAAAGCTTTCCCTAACTTCCCCCACCTAGCCCTGCCCCAGAATCAATCTGTTTATTTACCTTATTGCTGCTAAATTTAAATCCCCTTGAGGGTGCCATGAAGTCAGTGCTTAGCACAGTTTGATTTAAAAGTGAGGTAAAGAGGGCTTGAAGGAAATGGTTAATGGTAATAAAATTAATCCTTAGTAGTCAGGATAGAACTTGTATTCTCCTGAGTAGTGAGAAGAAATCTTAAGATTTGAAAGAAAGACTAAAGGCTGGCTTGTAATTCCTTTGAATTAACTTCACATGAAGCTCATAAGCAGCTCCTAACTTCTCTTTTCCCTTTGGAGGAAAGGCTAGAGCTATAGCAGGGATGGCAAACCTTTTAGAGATGAGTGCCCAAACCACAAACCCACTTATTTATCACAAAGGCCAACACTGCAATTAGACCTGAGGACTGAGTTTTTAGTCTAGTTTTAGAAAAAAATAACTCATATATTGACCTTTTGTTTTAAAACACAGTAACAGCTTTCAATGCTATCAACATCTTTCTATTGAAAGGTAAAATTTGCATTTGGCATGTTATCCAATGCTTAGCTGTTGGGGCAACTTGGCTCACATGCTAATAAAGAGGCCCGAGTGCCCACTGTGGCACACCTGCCATAGATTCACCACCACTGATGTAGGATATGAATTTATTTGCCTCTTTGGTGAGGGGTACCAGGGATTGAACTCAGGACCTTGCATTTGCGAGGCAGGCGTGCTGCCACTGAGCTAAATCTTCAGCCTTCCTCTATTTTTTCTTGTGGTACTGAGAGATCAAACCCAGGGGTGTGCTCTACAATGAGCCGAGCTACATCCCAGGTGCATTTATTTATCTATCTGGAGAAGATTTTATGCAGGGCTTGGTGTTGCACACCTGTAATCCCATCAGTTGGAGGCTGAGGCAGGAGTATCACCATGAGTTTAAGGTCAGCCTGAACTGTAACAAAACTCTATCTCAAAAAAAAAAGAGAGAGAGAGAAGGTTTTGCTCAGTTGCCTAAGAAGGACTTGAATTTGCTGTGCTCCTTCCTTAGCCTCCCAAAGTGCTGTTCTTTTAAAGAAAATTAGTTCAAGTATGTAGCAAGGTTTTTTTTGTTTTTTGGTACTGGGGATTAAACTCTGGCTCTTGCACTTGTGAGGCTGCAGGCAGAACCACTGAAACAATAATCCCCAACCCTCTGTAGCAGTTTCTTAAATGTATGATACTAATTCCGACCTTCATTCTCAAGCCATCCTATGTGCTCATCTTTGCTGTTCTTTCCAGGTTGATACTCCCTCTCCAAGCCCGATGGAGACATCTGGATGTGCCCCTGCAGAAGAATATCTGTGTCAGGCATTCTCTGATGTCATTCTTGCAGTGAATGATGTGGATGCAGAAGATGGAGCAGATCCAAACCTTTGTAGTGAATATGTGAAAGATATCTATGCTTATCTCAGACAACTTGAGGTTAGTATTGTCATTTGAGTCTATTTTTTATAAAGTGCACCTAGTTTTATAATTTTTTTAGCAAGGTACTGCTATGTGGTGGTCTGGCCTTAAATTTCTGGGCTCAAGTAATCTGTCTCAGCCCTTGGTAACTGGGGCTACAAATGTTCACTTACCCAGATTTGGGGGCGGGGGCTGGGATTTGAACTCAGGATCTTTACACTGAGTTGCATCCTCAGCCTTTTTAAAAATTATTATTATTTTGCAAGAGGCTCTTAATTGTCTAATCTGGACACAAACTTAAAATTCTCCTGCCTGGATTACACAATGAGACCCTGTCTCAAAAAAACAAAATTAAAAAGAATTTTTTTGAAAGGCAGGCCGCAGTTTGAACGTAACTATAGGGACATACATCACAGTGGGGAGTGGGTAAGTTCCAAACTCGCTGGGGTTAAAAGAAATAAAAGGGCAGGAAGTAGCAGGGGGTGTGGAGAAGATGCTAAGACCTAGACTGCCACCCAACACAGCATCTTGTCAGTGTGCCTGAATACCTGTAACTGGCAGATGAACACAGGAAAAAGCAAGTTCTTAGTTTCCTTCAACTTTATCTGATTTCAGAAAGTTTGTATTGTCAGGCGTAGTGGTGCACACCTATAATCCTAACACTCAGGAGGCAGAGGCTAGAGGATCCCTACAAGTTCAAGGCCAGCCTGAACTACTACATAGTGAGACCCTGTCTCAAAAAAAAAAAAAAGTTTGTATTAATGGCACTCGCTCTTCTCCCATAACAAGGAAATAATCTGTATAGTAAACATTGTAACAAAAATTACATTTGCCCAATTTGCCCAACTATTTGGGGTTTGTTTTATTTTTGATAGTTCAAGGCCAGCCTGGACTACTGAGACATTGTCTCAAAAAAAAAAAAAAATCTAAAAACAAAACAAAAAATTACAACTATACAGGATCAATTCAGTAGGATTACATACTAGTCTTACATTCTGGGGACTTAACCTTGGGAGTGCTAAGAGACATTCCGGCTCTTTTTCCTTTCTTGTTTTTTTCTTTTTTGAGGGGCAGGTACTTTCAATGAAGGTGTGGTGCCACTGAGCTAAATCCCCTGCCCTCTCTTTTCTTTTAGTCCCAGGTCTGGCTAAATTGCCCAGGCTGGCCCAGAATTTGTAATCCTCTTGCCTTAGCCTGCTGAGTAGCTGGGATTATGGGCATGCACCACCACACCCATCTCATTTTTCTCTGTAGCTATACTAGTGTTGAGTTTTTTATGCTGATCCAGGAACACAGTACACAGGAGTTCTGGCTAATTTGGGGTTACTGATATCTTCTGCACATAAAGCTCGCTCAGGTCCTGGCTTTAAAGCTCGCTCAGGTCCTGGCTTTAAAGAGAATATCCACACTGACAGCATGGTATCTTTGGGAGCAAGGTCAGCAACAGGGATGGTAAATGGAACATTGTAAGTAAGATATGACTGTGTAAAACCTGTCCCACGCTTTCCCAGTGATGGAGCTGTTTATAGTGACCACAAGAATAAATGAACCAGAAACTTTCATTAAGTCTAAATGCCCCAGAGCCACTCTGATGGCTACATGTTCTGGACATGAATCTGTGCTTCTAAGGATAGACGACGGCATTTTCTTTTGCAGGAAGAGCAGTCAGTCAGACCAAAATACTTACTGGGTCGTGAAGTCACTGGAAACATGAGAGCCATCCTAATTGACTGGCTAGTACAGGTTCAGATGATGTTCAAGTTGCTGCAGGAGACCATGTACATGACTGTTTCCATTATTGATCGTTTCATGCAGGTGAGCATATTTCAATAATTTTATTTTTATTCATTTTTTTAGTGGTACTGGAGATTGCACCTAGGGCCTTTGCACTGAGCTACATTCCCAGCCCTTATTTATTTTAAGGCATGGTGTCAGTAAATTACCCAAGGTGTCCTCAAACTTGTAATCTTTCTGCCTCACCCTCTTAGTGCTGGGATTACAGGCATGAGCCACCATGCCCAGCTATAATTCAGTAATTGAGGGTTCTTTATTCCAAGGTTTCAGCTGAATCATAAGAAACTGTTTAACTGTACTCTGTTGGGGGATAAGGTGTCATTAGTTGAGGTGGGCTGTGAAAGTACATCTCCTTGTCAAGTATTTTTAATCACCTAGTAAAAATTGCCATTGCAGAATAATTGTGTGCCCAAGAAGATGCTGCAGCTGGTTGGAGTCACTGCCATGTTCATTGCAAGCAAATATGAAGAAATGTACCCTCCAGAAATTGGTGACTTTGCTTATGTGACTAACAATACTTACAGTAAGCACCAGATCAGACAAATGGAAATGAAGATTCTAAGAGTTTTAAACTTTGGCCTGGGCCGCCCACTCCCGCTGCACTTTCTTCGTAGAGCATCTAAGATTGGAGAGGTATGGATTTCATGAAACACCTTCAGTATGGTACAAGTTAGGGAATACTGCTGTTAACCTGTATTAAATGGCTTAACTGCAAGAGGAAAGATTAAAGATGTCCTTTATTTTATTTTATTTTATTTTTTGGTACCAGCGATCGAACTCAGGTCCTTGTGCTTGTAAGGCAGGCACCAGAAACACTGAGCTAAATCCCCAGCCCATGTCCTTTATTTTTAATAAGGCAGGATTTTTGTTTGTTTTTGAGACAGGGTCTCACTATGTAGTTGAGACTGACCTGGAACTGTAGCCCAGGCTGGTCTTGAACTCACAGCAGTCCTCCTGCCTCAGCCTCCCAAGTGCTGGGATTACAGGCATACTATCTTCTTCTTCTTCTTCTTCTTCTTCTTCTTTTTTTTTTTACACTTTATTGGTGCATTTTAGATGCACATACTGATGATTTTTATCGTAGGGAATTTGTACCTATGCATGATATATCTTCTTTTTCACACTTCTCTCAATCTCTCTTCTCATTTATAAAAGCTTTTATTTCCACTTTTTCCTTCTATTCTCTTTTTCTTGTCCCTTTTCTTTCCCCCTTCCCCCTCCCTTGTTCCCCTTCTCATGTGAACATTTTCTTCCACTTCCCAGTATCTATTATTTTGGTCCTTATTTACTCTTGGTCTCTCACACCAGAGAAACAATGCAGTATTTAAACATGTTATTACTATCTTTCCTGGGTAATTTCATTTAGACTTTCTAGACAGATATTTGTAGTTAAAGACAGGGACGTACAGGTGATTGCCAATGTAAAATTGCCTGAAAGAAGCTTAATGAATTGTGGATTTTGTTCCAGGTTGATGTTGAGCAACATACTTTGGCCAAATACCTGATGGAACTATCTATGTTGGACTATGATATGGTGCACTTTCCTCCTTCTCAAATTGCAGCAGGAGCGTTTTGCTTAGCCCTGAAAATTCTTGATAACGGTGAATGGGTAAGCTCTGGTATTTGACTGAATATAGAAAGAACCCTTGTCATTAAGGCATTTCCACTGCTTACTGAATTTGGAATCTACCGAGGGAATAGTAAAAAGTATTGTCTGTAAAGTCATCTGCGTGTAATGCTTCCTTTACCTACTTTAATCCTTAGATAACCCTTTGAAAAAGGCAGATTAACTGATAATAACCCTTACAGATGTAGAAACAAACCTACACAGGTCAAATGACATACAAGAAATTCATTCATTGATTCAACAGATATTTCTGCTATGTGCCAGGCATACTACCTGTGCTCTAAAAATAGAACTGAATGAGAAAGTCTACCTCGAGGGCCTAGCTTTGGACAAACTATCGATTGCAATAGTACAGAGCATGAGAGAGCACCTGGGGAAGGAGTCATAAGCTTGCCCTAAATCCTGATTATAATTAGCCTTGCATATCCCTTCCTCTGCCCCACTCTTGAATAACATTTAGAAATTCTGTGAACACCATTGTTGATGAGAATTTTTAACATGTTTGTGTTGTCCTAGACCGCAACTCTGCAGCATTACCTGTCATACACTGAAGACTCCCTTCTTTCCGTAATGCAGCATCTGGCTAAGAATATAGTCATGGTGAACCGTGGGCTTACGAAGCACATGGTGAGTCAAATTATTGACGTTTTGTGATTTTTAAAATGAAGATCAGGGCCGCGATTTAGCTCATTGGTGCTGCCACCTGCCTCTAAAGCACAAGGTTCCGAGTTCAATCCCCAGTGCCCCCCCAAAAAAAGATCAAGTGAGGCATAGTGGCACATTCCTGAAATCCCAGCAGTCTGGGAGGCTGAGGCAGGAGACTCACTAGTGATGTAGTGAGACTCTGTCTTAGAATAAAAATTAAACTGGACATGTTGGCCATAGCTGTAATCTCAGCACTCTGGATGCTGAGGCAGGAGGACTGCCTCAAGTTTGAGATCAGCCTGGGCTGCATTACAAGTTTAAGGCCAGCCTGAACTACATAAGAAGACCCTGACTCAACAAACAAACATAAATTAATGTTGAGGATGTAGTACAGTACAGAGGCCCTATGTTAGCTCTACTGCTGGAGAAAATTTGGGCAGTATGTAGATTCATACTTTTATAAGTACTATATACATAGTTGGCATTGAGTATGGTTGTTAGTTTTTTGTTTTGACTGGGTCTCACTGTTGCTCAGGCTGGCCCACAACTCCTAGGCTCAAGTGATCCTCCTATCTCAGCTTCAGAGAACCAGTGGGGTTACAGACCACACCTTGGTGTCTGGCTTTGATATTGGGATTGGGCAGGGCATTTTGAGAGGGGATTAGTGTTGTATTGTAGCTTAGTAGTAGAGCACTTGCCTTGTGAACAAGGCAACACCTTGGTTTGATCCCCAGCACTGGGAGAAAAAAGTAGTTTTTTTGGTGTTGGGGATTGAACCCAGGGCCTCTGTCACTGAGCTTCAGCCCCAGTGAGTTGACATTTTAAATACCATTTAAAACTCCTAAGTTCGATGAATACTATTAGATCTTAGGGATTTTGTTGTTGGTTGTGGGGATTTCCTTCATTAATTAACTGCTGTGCTTTTTTCTCTCCCAGACTATCAAGAACAAGTATGCCGCATCAAAGCATGCTAAGATCAGCACTCTAGCACAGCTCAATTGCACATTAGTTGAAGATTTGGCCAAGTCTGTGGCAAAGGTGTAACTTGCAAGCTTGAGTACTCTATCTGCAAATAAAATTGGCACCATGTGCCATCTGTACATACTATACTGCATTTACATACTTTTTAAATAAAGATGTGGCCCTTTTTACTTTGCTTACCTTAACTGGTTTGAAGGTGGTTAGTTCCTATTCTAGGGCAACCTAAACACTGACTTTAAAGGATGATGGGAATATGCTTACAAACTGCGTTTAGTTTACCAAGGGATCCAACCAATGTATATAATTATTGCCTGTATGTTTGTATTCTTGGTCCTTCTTTTATGTTCCTGGATTTTAATGTAAGCCAGTGAAGATGATACCTCAAGCTCTTCCTTCTACTCAGCCTACTGCTTGTAAGCTGCCACATCACCTGGGAGAATCTCCTGCCTCTATCTAGTTGGATCTGAAAGTCTGCCACTTCGTCCTTAGTCTTCCCTCCATTCTTCTGTTTCTTCTGGTGGCTGCTATACTAATTCTAAATAAATTAGATCAACCATTTCTCCAGCTAACAACTTTAGTATCTTAAAAATGTTTTCACTTTGAAAAATAAGAACTTTTTTTAATTTATATTTGAAGTGTAGTTTTTTTATTTTGTGTTTTTATTAAGAAAATAAAACAGATTGCTCAAAACAAATACTAAAAGGACTTTTAAAATTAATTTATCCTTCCTCAATCCAATACACTGCAAGGCTATAAATAGTTTAGAGTGCATCCTTCCATATAGGTATAGGTATGAACATGAATTGTAAATGATTTTTTTTTTTTTTTTTGGTACTCCGGATCAAACTCAGGACCTTGCAGAACCACTGAGCTAAGTCCCCAGCTGTGAAGATTTTTTTTTAAAGAGAGTTCATTTTATGCATAGCAATTTCTTAGGTGCCTGTATTTGTACAATTGTAGTGGGTTTGCAAGAGAATCGATTTACTACAGGACACAATTTATAGGATGATTTTATAATATTCACCCAAAAAGTCAAATGCAGATGAATACAGATCTGTCTGAGCACTAGAGACCTGAAGAACAGTGGAGGGCCTTGACCCCACAGCAGTGTCCCCAAGTCCAGCAGCCAAAGGCTGCTGTTCTGCACAAATCCAGCTGGGGTTCTAGAGCCCACACCAATGTCTCATGCAAGTCTGTATGGAGGATCTGCACTGGGAAGACCCAAGGGCCAGTAGCGGAAGCTAGAAAGCCCACACCAGTGGGATAAAGGGTCTGTACCACCAGGCTGGGGAATCTGCACTGGAGCCAAGGAGCAGTTCTTGAGGCAAAGACCAGAGCTCCCCAGTGACAGTGAGGACCCGTGCTCTGATAACAGCTGACTTCCTATCAGGAAAACCAGGCTCAGCCAACTTCTACAGGAAAATAAAAAGTCCATGATTTTCCCCGCCAGTTCTCTTTCTGCCATTGGCAACTATGCTTGGGTGGGTCTTCCACACCCAGAACCACACTGACTCAGTTCAGCTGGGTGTTTCAGATTACATAGTATGGGGTATGGTATAATATAGTCATACAGGTCCCCATTGACCTTCACAGTGCATTCTCTTTGTCCTTGCAGAAAGTGCTTTCCAAGCATCATTTTAGTACCATGCTTTTCTTTGCATATGGCAGACTTTCCAGAGTATGTGCATTGTTAGGTCTGACAGATGACATTTACAAAGTCAGCAGCAGCATCCAAAAAACCAGTTTTCTTTGCCTCTATTAGAACTGAAGGTAATGTCTTTAATTTTTGTGAGTCCATTAGGAAAAAAAAACTCATTTTGCTTTATGCTTTTGACAAGTTGAATGAATTGTGTCTTTTGTCAATGTGGAAGACTTTTCTAGTGTAGTTTGTCATTTGCCCTTTGTTCTGTTTTTAGCAGGACATGTTTGTAGTATATAATTACATTCTTTGTGGGGAGTTTGTAAATGTACATAACACATCTTAATTCTTACATCCCTTGCCTACCATTTCCAAAAGTTTTATCTCCTTGTTCTATTTATTTTCATTTGCTTTTTAATTTATTTATACATGGGGTTTCTCCTAAGAGAAACCTTGTGATATTTAATTAAGCTTGTGTGTGATTTATTTGACCTAACATTCAAAGTGCATCCATTTTCCCTCAAATGACTCACATATATCCTTTATAGCAGAGTGGTATTCCTTTGGGTATAAAGACCATATTTTCTTTTTCCGTTCGTCTGTGTTGACTAACATATAGGCTGTTTCCAAAGTTTGGCTATTGTAAGTTGTGCTGCTATAAAAATGGATGCACATCATTGTAATATGACATCTTTAACTCAAGAAGATACCTAAAAGGGGATTAGCTACTCAAAAAATATTTTTTGAGGAACCTCTGTGCTGATTGCAATATGATTGTATTAGTTTGCATCCTCAACAGCAATGTAGAAGAATTCCCCCCGCCATGCACAGCTTTACCAGTATTTGTTAGTTACTACTTGGTTTCTTAATAGTACTTGTTCTTTCTGGAGTAAGGCAGAATCTCAGTGTTCTTTGTTTTGGTATCAGGGATTGAGTTCAGGACCTACATTTGTGAGGCAGGCATGGTGGCACCGAGCTAAATCCCCAGCCTTCAGTGTCATTTTAATTTGAATTTCCCTAATGGCCAAGGGTGTGGAACATTTTTTTGATGTCCTTATTGGCCGTTTTTTTTCCTGGGAGGTTTATTCGTTTCAGTTACCCATTTTTTTATTGGGTCTTTTATTGGGCCATCTAATTTTTTAAGGGTTTTGTTGTGTTTAGTTTTTAGTGTGTCTGTGTTTTGTTGTTGTTTTGAGTTCTAAATATAGTCTGGCTATTAGTCCTCTGTCCAGGGATAATTAAAAATTTTTTACCATTCTGTAGGTTGTCACTTCACTCTTGTTTCCTTTGCTGTGGAAAAAACTTAACTTGATATAATCTCAGTTGTGATTCTTACTACTTTTTTTTAAACAGTTGGGGTTTTGCTAAGAAAGTCCTTGCCTATGTTTGTATCTTCAAGAGTTTTTATCTTCTAGCAGATTGTTCTGTTTTAATATTTAGAACTTTATTTAATTTTTATTTTAGTTCAGTTGTATGCTGAGAGACATTGGTTTAGATCCAAATCTGCATGTGGATAGCCACTTTTCCCGGCACTATTTGTAAAAGAGGCTATCTTTCCTCCAGTGTGGGTTTTTCACCCCTTTGTCAAAGATCAGATGGTTGAGTGTGCCTGGGGTTGTTTCTGTACCCTTTATTCTGTTTCATTGATCCATATGTCTGTTTTTGTGCCAATACCATGCTGTTTTTATCACTAGCTTTAATTTGAAGTCTAGGACTGTGATGCCTCCTTTGTTCTTGTTGCCTAAGATTGCTTTTGTTATTTGGACTCTCATGGTTTCATATAAATTTTAGGATTGTTTTCTCTAGTTCTGTGAGGAATGCTGTTGGCATTCTGATTGGGACTGCATTAAATCTATACATCTGTGATTTTAAAAAATTTTTACTTTTCTCATTCAGCCCCTCAAGCCCCCTCCCCTCCTATGTACAAAAGCTTTGTTTCCATTTTTCCCTTCTATTTTCCCTTTTTTTCTTAGCCTATCCTTTCTCCCTCCCTCTATACATCAGTTGTTTTGTTTTGTTTTGTTTTGTGTTTTCGTACCTGGGATCAAACTCAGGACCTTGCACTTGTGAGGCAGGCGTGGTGCCACTGAGCTAAATCCCCAGCCAGATACATCAGTTTTGAAAATATGGTCATTTTGACTATGTTGGTTCTGCCAATCAAGGAACAGGAGTTATTTTTCCATTTTTCTGATGTCACCTTCTAGTTCGTTTTTCACAGAACTATAGTTTTTGTTATAGAGTTGTTGCAGTTACTTTTCTCATTGCTGAGACAAAATATCTGGCATCCACAAGTTAAGCCAGGGAAGGTTTATTTAGCTCACAGTTTGTGGAAGTCCATGGTCAGCTGGTTCTTAATGCAGGGTGGCAATGCAGATCAGGATGCCTGAGGAGAAACAGTCCATGGCAGGGTGGGCACAGAAAGCAGCAGCAGCAAGTCTGACTCCCTTCCTCTGTATTCCATCCAGGCTTTAAGCCTATTAACTGATGCCACCCACACCAAGGGTGGAGCTTCTACTATCCACACCCAGAACTATGGTAATTCCCATCAGTGGGCTAATTTAGCATCATATACCCTCAATCCCAGTATCACACACCCTAGATCCCAGACAGCTCCAAAATGCCCCACCTATATGTGCACTAGGTTTGGGGAGACATCTAGACACCATTACAAGAAGTCTTTTACTTCCTTGTTAAACTGATTCTTCTTTAATTTTTCTTGAAGCTATTGAGTGGTATGTTTCTAATTCCTTAGTGAGTTCATTATTGGTGTATAGGAATACTACTATTTTGTATGTTAATTTCTGTATCCTGCTAACCTCGCCAAATTTATTCTAGGAGTCTTTTGGTGGATTTTTTGGGGTCTTCAGTGTAAAGGATTATATCATCAGTAAATAACAATAGTCTGACTTTTTCCTTTTCTACATGTATCCTGTTTATTTCTTTGTTTTTCCTGATTGCTCTGGCTATAGTTCCAAGTATTATATTGAGCGGGAGGGGTGATAGTGGGCATCTTTTGTTTCTGTACCCTTTATTCTGTTCCATTGATCCACATGTCTGTTTTTGTGTCAATGCCCTGCTGTTTTTATCGCTAGCTTTGTAGCGTAATTTGAAATCCAGGACTCTGATGCCTTCTGCTTTGTTCTCATTTTCTGGGGTTGCTTTTGCTATTTGGACTCTTATGGTTTCATATAAATTTTAGGATTTCATTTTTCCCCCATTCAATATGGTGCTGGTCTTCAGGTCTGGTACTACACTCCTATAATGTGTGCTCTCAGGAGGTTGAAGTAGGACCACTATAAGTTCAAGGTCAACCTTGGCTCCATAATGAGTTCAAAGGCTAGCCTGAATTACATAGCGTGATCCTGTCTTTTAAAAAAAAATCACATATTTACTAAATGTCAGATTTGTCAGCTTTCCTTAAGAAAATACAATATAACACCTATTTGCATAAAATTTACATTGTATTTGGTATTATAATAAAACAGAAATGAGAATCAAGACCTATCATGTAAAGGTACAGTATCCCAATAATGAATGTAAATGTATTGTATACCTAGATTGTACCAATAAACTCAATAAAAAGAAAAAAAAAACAGAAGGTTATATGCAGGCTCTACAAATACTCTACATTTTATGTAAGAACTATGACATCCATGGATTTTGCTACCAGCAGAGCAGGGACCTGAAATCAGTCTCCCCAGAGGATTGAGGTAGGGCTGTAGTCTTTTTTGTCCTAAATTTTTTTGCAGGGTGGGGCCGGTACCAGGGTTCAAACACAGGACCTTGCACTTGCAGGTGTAGGTGCAGTGCCACTGAGCTAAATCTCTTGCCCTTGTCCAAAATTTTTTTTGCCAGTCATCTTTATATTGGTGGTTTTAAATTTTGCTGAAAGCTAAGTGTGGTGGTACATGCTTGTAAAGCCAGCC